TGTGTATAAGAGACAGGTCTAACACAGATCAGCCTTCCCACACACCAAAATGCAGCAGTTCCTAACACACTAGGGTTTTTTTCTACGTGCTAAGTTAGTATATTGGCAATTTGCCATAGTGTACAGGCAAAAGGAGATGCCTAGCACAGCCCACCATACTGCTTAGCTATTTAATCTTTGATGGGAGACTAATTTTGTAGTATGTTAACTTCAGAAGCAAGTTTTCTTGAAGAATGTGCCTATGTGTGTATTAAATTCTTCCTGGTTTCAGGGAACTTTTTGGTAAGCAGCAAAGAGGAAAACATACAACATCTACCTGAAGACAAAACAGAACACTGCTGCACAAATACATTCTCAAACTGAAAGAATGAAAAGAAGTAATGCCTGACAATTCAAACCCATTCACTGAAGGATGGGTTAAGGTTTGGAGTCCAATATTTCCCTTTTTGTGCACTAATGTAGCAACACATACAGGCCCCCGATGATGTCTAACTTACATCTCCTTTATTAATGCCTTGTTTTTTAATATACACCACCCGGTCACTGACTGGAAAACATTTAAGCTAACCTAGACAGACACTATGTTACCATTTATCATCCAACTCTGTTTCTGGCATATCACAAGGGAAACTTGACAAGAGCCTTCCATCAGACCCACACTGCTGAAGGCCTTCTGGAAGTCAGACCTTACATCGAACCATTCGTGCAACTTTGCATTTAAAGCATCTTTGTAAACAGTGACTCTGGGTCTAGAAATTGAAGTGTTGGAGAAAGACACCAACCTGCAAGAAATCCCCTGTGTACTTACTGATGCCATACAGCGCATAGAGGAGACACAGCTCAGTCAGGACAGCACGGACAGCTGCATTACTGACCTCAGACAGCTTTGCTGTGAAAAGCTTCACTACCACATAGTGACAGTGTGCCTACAAGAGATGAAAGGAAGGTGAATCAGGTTCATGAAGAGAAGCTCTTACAGTCTATTTCTTTATCAGGCACATCACTGACCTCAGACGCTCTCACAAGATCAACAGACGTTCCTGTTCCAGGCATCCTCCTTGCTCCTTCTGTGGTTCAATTCAGCTTGCAAATTCTTTGCTGCAGCTTCCACAAGCCTATTTCA